TTCTTACATACACACACACACACACACACACACACACACACACACACACACACACACACACACACACACACACACACACACACACAATGGGGTAAGAAACGGCACACAGCAATACTAAATGGCATTTACGACCTGCACAGCTCAGTGCTGCCAGGCATGTTGTGGCACAGCGTGGTACTACACAAACGACATTCGACTTGAAATTCCACCTTGCCTGTATACTGTAAATACTCTTACAAAATAGCGTCTTAAAAATGTCACAGCAAAGAGTTTCCTATATGTCTTGTCGTGACTTTTAACAGCAAGTCTCCAGCTTTTCTATCGATTGTCTTGTCGTGCTTATGTTTGGGAGTGAGCGGAAGTGTTGACACTTTGATGTCTTTTTAGTTTATAGCACTCTCCTCGCAGACGGGCAGTGAGGGCCGCCCTCTCTTCTGTCCAAAACAGCCATCAGCTGATGAAGCCTGTGGATTTTCCACGGGCTTGCATCGTCAATTGTTCCTCCTGGCGCACCTTCTCTGTCCTCCGCTGCACCTGGTAAGCCTGCCAAACCAGGGGCCTCATTATGTTTTAATACATCAATCGGATGTGCGATGATGTTTCCACATTCAAAAGGCGTGAGGAGATTATATCGCTATTGGTTGGCCCGTCCTGGGATGAATAATTCATGGGGGCGCGGCGTTAATGACAAAGCGTGCCATCTGCCAGAGCGACAGATAATGGAGGAGATCCATCATAATGGCTTGTTACAGATGTCCACTGGATACAGTAACGTACAACCCCGATTCTTTCCTCAAAAATGTCTTCCAGAAGAATCAATAGTTCCACTCGGTGGGATCCGGCTTCCTGCAAAATGAAATTCAATTCATGAATAAAAGAACTGGCAGCTGCCTTTTTAATCGCATCTTGTTAAAAAAAAATATCTATATATATATACACAATTCATTGATCAATATACAGTATACAGTACATGCATACATATCTGACAAGTAAGTTTTTCTTGTTTGCATTGATATTTATTCATTGAGCCTTTGGGATATTTTATATTTTAGGGTTAAAAAAAAAGTATTATCTCCAAGTTTCGAATCCTATTTTTATTTGAGCGTCACGTGTGACGTGATGCCATCCTGACCTCCGTCAAAGTTCTATACGTAGACGGGGCCAAGGATGAACCTCCCCTTTCATGTGAATGTGAGCGTCTGTAAAAGCATCAAATATTCATGAATCCCGACACATTCCAGAACCGTGTTGCACGCCGACGTCTAATTGGCAATTAAACCCGCCGCTTCAGGGGCGCAATGGTGAAGAGGATACAGCACCACAGTGGATGAGGAGCAGGAGCAGAAGCCTTTAAGTAGGACAAAATAACAGCAACTTCTCGAATGAACGCGCCGCTTGCAGACATTCAGCATATCCGAGCCAAACACAAATTAAACAGTTAGTGTTGAGAATGTCTTGAAGGAGGAACTTTATGGAAAGCATGTGGATGCAAATTAGGGCTGCGGCATGAAAGCATAGCATGGAGCAATACAGTTCCTCGAGCTTGTTTCACCTGTCAAATCCCCCCTGGCAAGTCTGAATTTTGCAAGTATTATGCCGCGTTTTTGTTTCTGCTCCGTGTGTGTTAAAAAAAA